AAGACTCCCTTAATCTATCCTACTAAACTGATAAGATAAGATAATTGAATAGATAAGACTCCTACTAATTCCTGCTACTGAAAGCAAATAAGGTAAGAATACTGAATAGATAAGATAGGATGAGAACACTAAATTGTTGCTGCTGAGAACACTAAATTACTGCTGCTGCTGCCGGCGCCCACATCACAAGTATAATAAGTGTACACTTCCATGAGTCATCATTTTGCAAGGCAAACAAGAAATCTATTCCAATGTACAAAAGGGGTCTTTTTTTAAGTATTGTACAAAAGGGGCCTAGAATGGATACCTGAGAGGGATCAAGAGTTAGCATTCTTTCCAATAGCTCCAAAGCATGGTGATCAAAACTGTATTGCAATAAAACCATCAAGGTCAAACTTGACCTAATATAGGCAAACAGAACCTCCATATAATTTTAACTAACTTCAAATCCTGGCAATTATTCCAAATGAAAAAACTCTATTTGTTTACGTACTGTTTAAAAACCTCCCTGACACGCCTCTTCATGGGCCTTGTTGGTTTGAAAGTGTTATACCATGGGATTTTGGAAACACCAGGCCAGTTAATCTCATCAGGAGCTCCACACAGCTCAAAGATCTTGTTCAATTGCTCTGGCTACATTAATCAGAATCACAAAAACTTTGCATCAGACATGGAGGTTCAATGGGAAGCCTTTACTGCATAGCTCAACTCAGTAAAATATCACACATAAATCATCAGAAACTTTTAACTCAAATATGGCAACTAATCATAGAATTGAKAACGTTTTAAACAAATTAAGGTGGTACATGGGAATTGAAAACAAAGCAGCGGACAGAGAAGTGTACTGTCATGGAACTATTTTAGAGAAATAGAGTATATATGAATAACCTAATAACATAGATATAGGATGTTCATATTTATAATTTCTATTTGTTTTTTATGAATAAATATAATTTCTATTTGTTGATCCATCCCTTGGGCAGTTGAATAATTGCATTATCTATTTGACTTTGTACTCTCTTCATTTTTAATATCAATTAAACTATAAGAAAAAATAATATATAAGATAAAAGATTTAAGGTAAGGAAGAAATTTTGCACATAAATAATGAGACAAACCAAACCATGGATAGGTTTCCATTTTTTGCATGTGGCATGCATGGTTGTTGGTGTGAAAACTTTAAAGAAAATTCTTATACAACATAATTTACTCAATTAAATAATTGAGATTTTATTATTTTGGGTAAGGCCCATTAGGGGCACCATATTGATCCCTTAATTACATCTTTGTAAGGGTAGAGAAAACCTCTTGATTCTGACTTGAAGAAACAAATGAATAATAGAACAAACCAAAATGGTTAGATAATTCTTTAAATGAGAACTCCACTAAAAATTTCTTTTTGTAGAGAACACTGATGTGGGCCCCACAGCTGTGATCCCACTCTGTCCGCCTAGTCATCCTAGGGTTAGCTGCTGTTATTCTAGTTGTTATTTATTTTTCAGTTTTATATTATTATGTGTTATGTAAATACCAAGGGCAAATTGTCCTTTCATGTAACTAGCATAACCTATAAATATTAAATAGAAGTGGCGGCGGCAGAATAATTGAGATTCTGTCCTTCCTTTCAAAGTTCATGTTCTACTGCTCTCCCACTACTCTTTCTCCTCTTTCCTCTATACTTTCTCTCCTCTTCGAACCTGAAATTTATTAGTGCTCAAGACTGATAGCAGTCTTGAACACCTACATGGTATCAGAGCCAAGTTAGGGTTTCTCATGTGAGTCTAGTACCAGCCGACCACATGAGAATCTCCTAGGACTGGAAGCTGAAAAGGTGGAATTCGCAGACTGATTCTTGGAGATCGCCAAAAGGGCTAGCAGCTGTTGAAGGCTTGTCACGGTTGCAGAGTGTTGGTGGTCAGGAAGGATCAGAGAAGACTAGGGTTCGGGTAATCTTGGAAGGCAGCGAACATTTTTTCCTTGTAAGTTATTTATTTTCTAAGAGAAGTTCTATCAGAGAAGATAGGTTGGACCTATCTGGAGAGGGCGGCCGAACCATTCTAGGGTTTTCTCCCTTCGATTCTCTAGGGTTTTACAGCAAACCCTATTATTGGCCGAACTGCCTTAGCTTTGTTTCTCTCTGCTCTAGGGTTAGAAAGTGATCTTGCGGCAAGTCCTAGTGTTAGACTG